AACTTAGCTAGCAATTCAGAATATGCTTGGTTAAATGCCATTATATATTTATACATGGCGCAAAAAAAATGGAATTCCATGAAATTTCAAAAAAATAGACCACCAGGATCAGTTTTATTATAATACAAATAATACATTTATGGCCTTTTTATAAATAAGAAGAGACACGCTAGATGGATCAAAAATTTATGTCACACATGCCTAGGCCATAAGGTGTGAACAATATATTATTTTATTAAGGCAATATTCGAGATCTGGGTTAAGGACTAATCTAGAAAATTTGGCAGGTGATACATTTCATCTATAGTGCCTTCGACCAATTTTACTAGGCGATCATGTATGTAGATTATTTAGCATAAAAAATAAAGAATAAGTTATACATTGCGCTTTTAGCTAAATGATATTAATCTTCAATAGTCTATAATTAATATATTTCTCAGTCGTTAAACAAATGTGATTTTTGTACCATCTCTCAATCTTAATGCGGGCTGATTAAGATGGTCTATAGATGGTAATAAGTTATTTTGTTTAGCATACCGAGATGAGATAAATATTTCGCTTGTATTACTTTTGGAATTTGATGATTGATGTGAAATTGGCGAAACCATTTCTTGTCTGGCAGGTGAAATATAAGCTGGCTCGAAACTTGGAGCACTTGGCATAATATTTTCAGCTATAGTCATTTTATCCTGCTTATATGTTTCATAGCTTGTCAAACATGCATCATGATCATATGATACGGATGCCAATTTATCCTTCTCTGAGTGTGAAAAAGATTGGGATGCAAGTTCCAATTGGAGACGTTTAATATTTGCCTCTTCCTCTAATATGTATTGCTTATATTGCCAGATCTGAAATTCCCTCCTATCAATAGACTTGAGAATTTCTTTTCTTCTTGCATGTTCATTCGAAATACTATTTCCAGAAATGCATCTCTTCAAGTGGTTATCTCGACAGGTTGAGGCATGACCACCACGTCCATTTTCAGATATGAAAACTAAGGAGTCACATACACTACAATATATGTAATTTGATGGAAGACCATGAACTCTATCACTTCTTTCAATTAAATTTCCATACATCGTAATATATCCATTCTTAGAAAGGATTCCCCTGGAATAGTTCTCTTCTAGTATTTTCCTAAATGGATTACGGATACGAGAGCACCACATTTCTGGTGTTTCGTGATCATGTCTTATTGTTAAAGGGCCTAATCTATCAAGTATATCTATATATTTGTTAAAGTTTATATCACCATAGCGTACAGAAATTAGCTTATATTCGGCTCTACTATCTAAATCCATAATGGACTAATGGTGTTTAATAGATTATAATAGATATAGCGATTATATAGTTAATAGCTGATTAACAGGGATTAGCCGGAATGATGTATAACATAAAAATTTGTATCACCCTAGCTCCCAGACAGTCCCGGCACTTCCTCGCAATCTTCCCGCAACTCAAATCACGAGACGATCGGCCAATCGGATTTTGGATTGTTTCTTTGCCTAACAAAATTCGGTTAATTTTTTATTTATACAGGATTAGTTTGTCGATCCTCATGATTCAAGCAGTCTATCATTTCCCCGAAGGGTGCTTTGCTATTTATTCGATAAGTGGTCATACTGCAGATATACATGAATTAAAAAGGAGAAAGGGCTGATACGGCCAAACTTTTATTATTATTTATGCATAACTACTCAAAAATGAAAATGCTGGACACGCGTGTCCGCTAATTGCGCAGTAATGTGGCGCAGTAATGATCTCCAGCAATAACACGGTCAACATTATTATGAGATAAATTTAATATAAATCTAGCAGGAAAAGATCTAATTCGTGCTATTTTCGATTTACTAATGCCATTAAAAACTTAGACCTTCTCGCCCCTTTCCCAAAATAATAATGTGAGAACGATTTTTTATTGTCACCATCAGCTTTGATGATCCCGTTATTTAATTCACGAAAATTAACCGAGTCAATATCTATTTCGGGAAACGCTTGCAAAGTAATGCTTGATATAAAATATAAGTTCCTTTTTAACCCGGCAATTAATTTCACCCTCATAATCACAGGTAGTGGCATCAACTTATCTATAATTGGCAATGATAATACCCCGGCCAGCTTTGAGGGCGTAATGATTTTTTTGATCCATATCTTTGCGTTTCTGGTCTAATGAATCTCTAATGTATGACTTAAATATTCTTTCTTGTCTTAACAGTATAAATGAAAAACCGTTCCCTCGGGGAACGATCAGAGTCATGTGATTTTAATTTTATAAACTTTGCCCGATATTTTTTATTTTAAAAAAATACGTTAAAAATTGACACAACTAATATACTACATAGGACATTATAATACTACTTGTTGTAGCTAACCGTCAGATAAATGAACATATTAATATCTTCCAAACCACAATGGACATTCCCTTTTGACGCAATGAGTTTTGCTAACAAGTCTTCTAAATTCAGGGGTATCTAACGTTTGTTTTCTGAAGGATGATTTGAGTTCTAAAGGAGCTAATCCCGGATTTTTAAGTTTTTCAATAAAAGTATCACAAGACTCCAACAATATAGCCCGTAGATTTAATAGAATATAAATTTCATCTATTAAAATATATATGTCCTTAATCGTTGCAGGTACTGATATCTGCGCAATATGATTCATCGTGTAAAGTCCATCACCTCTTAGATCAAGCATGTAAAAATCTATTCTATATGCAATGCATTGAAATCCTAATATCTTGATCTCCGCCCCTTGTGAAACTGCCGAATCCATACAATCTTTCATAAAAATTCCAATTCTCACTAAATCAAGGCAATTTTTATATACGTTTCCTTGCTCAGATGGCCCAGTTACTTCACCAACATAAATCACGTTTGATGCCCGAGACTGATAGTTGACTGAAACAACAAAATCTGGTTGCTTCGCCCTAGATCCATCAAATTTTCGTACTTTGCTTTCTGTTAAGGCCGTGTTTGGCCATCGGACTACGTGTCTGTCAGGTATATGGAACGCGTTTTTCATAATGTTGTCCAAATAGTTTGTTATCAACGTTAATTCACTTGGTTCATTCCTTATCTTATCATATGGAAGATTTCTTATCAAGTCTAAGATTAGGAAGCAGAAATTATTCATCAATTCATTTTTTTGTACAATCTTTGCACATAATAATTTAATGGCATTATTACGCGAATCATTCAAACACGTTTTAACCACACTCCTGTACATATTTTCGATCTCTATATCCAGTTGTATAGATAATTTTGGTGTATATTCTCTGTAAATTGACTCTAGTACATCTAAACCAAACGATTCTACCATCTTAGTGGAGTAAGAGTTCGGTATGAGCACAAGAATTGACGATAATGATAATATTTCGTGAGAGTGTGTTTCAACGTACAGGCCTTTGTTGTTAGCGTGTAATATGGATTCGTTAATATATGTTCTAAATTTTTCTGATATATTAACACCATTTACAAACAAATCGGATTCTGAACTCTTTGATAATGAAAAATTCTGAGGAATATTAGTAATAACGACATTTTCGTCTTCAGTATCCTCGGTGAAAGGATCTTCTAGAGAATATGTTGGAGACACATATCTATTATCTTGGATCTCGTCATCAGAACTAAAATACGAATCATTACTTGATTCTAAATCCTGTTCATGCTTTTAAAAATAATAAAAATAAACGATCTATACAAAATACAAGGCATTTTGCATTAAAAACGATGAAAAAATGCAATTACCTTATTTTTTGGTGTTCGTGGCTGTTCGGTTTCATCTTCGTTCCCTTGTTTACGTTTACGTTTGCATGATCGATCACCTTCGTCATCCAAATTCTAAAAATTAAACCACGAAATAATTAGTCCTATTTCTCACAACTTCTAACAAAAAGCACTTTTATACCTCTTCTTGATTTCTTTTGTTAGTCATAACTATACTCGAATTTTCTATATTTTCAGCCACACTTATTTCCCCGTATATGTTCCCTCCATTATTAGCACAGCCTATAAATTTCGGTTGGTGAACGTAAATTGAAAGTTCATTAGTTGGTTCATTAGCTGGTTCGTTGTCTGCTTCATGTTCATTCTTCCACTCTTTTGCTAGATCTTCGTCTTGCCCCTGAAAGGAAGAATATGATAAATTAGTATTATCTTTAATATCATGTTCTCATGCATTCTACCCGATTTTAATCCCACCAGGCAGGATCGAAGACCGAACATCAGACAAGCTCGAAGGGTCATCTGCATCCGTGGTTGTCTCGAAACTTAACACAGACAAGCTCGAAGGGTCATCTGTGTTCTGGAGGGGCTAGTGTCAAGTCGGCTTGAAAGGCTTGAACACAGGCGAGCTCGAAGGGTCACCTATGCCTCAACACTAGCTTATGGCTCGGTCGAAATATAGAGGAGCTCGAAGGGTCCTCACGCCATTTATTTTATTCATTCCTTTATACAAAAGTTTAAACTCGCCTGGTTATAGTTCTTAATCAACTGTTGTGCCTTATTACGTCTTCGACCTTCTTCTGTGTTAGCGATATTCTCAAGGGACTTAAGATAGCAGTATATTTTACGTCTAAACGTTTCTATATTGCATTCATTGAGGAATCCAATAATGTTCCATTCCGACGTTTTTCGCTCGAAGTATTCATGTATCTGTTTTTTGAAAATGAACGAAAGGAAAAAGTTATCTGCATGAAATTCGTGAAATTGCAAAACTGCAAAGTTTATCCGTATTTAACTTTCGTACCTTCTTAGGTTCAGTGGTAGATGCGGACATATTGAATCGTTTTGTATAGTGGTTTTTTGAGGACATGAATCGTACATATAACTTACAAGTTACGTAAGGCAGACACATGGTTAGCACAAAATGTGGCTGAGCATAATTATCTCCACCCTAGAAATTATATCATATCTCGCATATCCGAATTTTTAGTCACGTGCACATTAAAGAATTTTGCAAATGCCCGAAGTGGGCGAAACTTTATTAATAATTTTTCAGATACATGGATCAGAGGTAGTGAATGAAATATATGATGCTATCAAAGAGGGAGGGAGTACGCGGATCCTAGGCCATTTAATGCGAGTCCCAGCATCGAGTTATTTCTTTGCTCTCACATTTACATAAAGTATCTATAACTAATAAAATTATTTCTCTATCTATACGCCTGCTAACTACGAGATTCTCACACCCATACTCTTTTAATACACTAGATTTTTCAAATAAATTATCCCACCCATATCTACGCCTATCTATATCACTAACACTCGCACAAACTATATAAAAGATTATTACATGTAAGAGAACTTCAACGAGATTAATCGAATCTATAGCATAAATTCGGGGATTAGCAACTGAGGTAAAATAATAAGAAATGCAATATTTAATATTTCCAATTCATACTTACCATGATTCATTTTCAGAATATTCCAGTCCGCCTGAAATTTGACGCTTAATTTTTTTGTGACCAGTACAATACTGCACCAAGTATTAAGAATTCGACATGTTATCAATACGCTGATGATAAATATGGAGTTGATTAGATAAGATAATAATATCTCATCCCGGGAATTTATTTTTGTAATACTGTACGCATGATGATTGTCAAAGATTTTCTCGGCGAAGATCAAAATGCCGATAAATAACAAGAAGAGTAATGTGTCCGTTTTATTTTGGAACATCTATAGAGGAGGAAAAATAGATTAACATCGTGATGACATGTTTCAAGAAGCTAGCCGAGCAATAAAACCAACCTACCTTATTATAACTTTGCGGAATATGCGAGTTCGTTTTGATTGTTGATTTCGATGATGTTAATAATGGTAAGTTTTATTTTTCGTTTGATTTTTGCTTTAGTTGCGCAAGACAGATAAAAGAGTTCACTAACCGGGACATCACCTTTTTATATGATTCGCAGGATCGATTTTGGAATACACTTTTGGAGCAAATTACGTTAATATGATTAATCACGAAAATCTGATCAACGGCCTCTCCTTAATTTAACAATAGTATATAAAGATCGTCAGGGAGAGTTTTTATTAATAAATTTCATTGAGTACATGCGGGAAAGTTCGAGAACAAATGCTATACTACGGTTATAAATAAGTTATAACTAATAACTGTAGATACTATGATCTATACAAAAATAAATTACAAGAATCGAGAGCTATTCTGTGATATATGACAAGGACTATCCTATACATTGTACTAATACAATATCCTATCATTAATTCCATAATCCGTTTCATTTGTGCCTTCGTGATCCTCAAAAAATCCCGGAACGAAAAATACCATTAGCTTGTAATCCTGAGTCACTTCATTGAAATGCATAGCCACAACCGGAGTACTCCCACCTTAATTGCGCAATGTTTCGTACGAATTTTCTTTTTCACCGACACTTTTTTCATATTGCGATACGATGCCCTATTTTTGTATTTGCAAGACTTCGGAAGAAATGAACGCATTCGGCAAGAATATCATACTGCGCATTTCAGGTGATTGGTCTCACATGACAGAGTTTTTATGCTACGATCGCGAATTTGAATTTATTGCTTGAAGTGAAGCAAGTAAGACAATATTCTGTTCCATTCCTACACCATTCGCCATGTAATCCATAATTCCCATGTTTTCCATCGCAAATAGGACATGGTGAGCTCCACGGCTGAGGTGATTCAAAATTATAATTGTCAATCCCTCTAAAACTATTTCGGAATTTCAAGTATGGGAGGTGCTCTAAGACGGATTTGATAATTGATTCTGGATCGGGTCTGGCTTCGAAAGTGATAGGCCCTTTTTCTGGCTTTGAATTTATAACTTCCGATTCATGTACTTCTGTTAGTTGCCATGGCTCATTTCCAGTTTGTTTTTTATATCTTTTGTATAATTTGGAACGAATCTTATCTGTCAAAATACTTGGTAATCCAATTAATTTGGTATGCCAATCCAGATATTTGGCGGTTAGTATTTTATCAGACTCAGTCATTTTCCTTTTTATATGACTGCAATCAATTTAAATCCCCGCCCCTTTGTTCTTCGAACTGCAGGGTGAGAAAAAAACCTACCTGTTATACGGAGCCTGCGAGCCTGCAAGTAAGAAATATATCACTTTTCTCCCACCCCGAAATCTTTGATTGAGGGGGTAAGACTATGCAGTTATCTCAATTTCACGCTGTTCACATTTAATAAAGTAAGATCTGGTATTATACGTACCTTCTATTTCTTCATCATCATGACCTAATTTGCATAATGGGCAGATGTAGTCCCTGCATGTTGTCTCATCAGTAATCCCATAATAGTCGAAATTTTCAATACTACATTCTCTATATAGATT